CTCAGCATAGTTCATAATTTTATTGTAAAAAATTAATCAAATCGATGTAATGAATCAACAGTAAACAATTTTTAAGCATATATTTGAGTTGCTTAAATTCGTTATTTATCTAATTTTCTGCTAGAAGTGACAGATTAATCTTACAAGCTGCAGAGACACTCCATTCAAGCAACTTTTTCCATAGGTCCGATTCTTTCAAATTTAAATTACCACGTTTAAGTAAGTAAACAAAGATGAAAAGTAGCAGCTGGAATTTGACACGTGATTAATATCCGTGTAAAATTTGTGAAGACGTAAGAGTTATGCACGAATGCTATTAATTAATTGAGCGAAACTTTGTCAAATATTTAGAATGATATTCGAGAAGATAAAATTGAATGCCACAACTCGTAAATCAAAATGTCGAAGTTCAATGAATTTGAAAATTTTTTTATCTGAAATTGCTTCAACAATTTTCAAAAAATATTCGAGATTCGATATTTGGTTTCTTAAAAATAATCATTTTATTCAGTTCTCAGCTTCAACCAAGCATTGGAAAGTGCTACTGTTAAGTATTACAGCTGTGCCGCTAAAATTGCTGAGCGAGCTAAAAGTACGTTTGAGAAATTTAGTTTTCGTCAATAATGATTAAAAGATAACATAGAATTCATCGAATTTATTTGCATATGAAGTTAATAACAAGTCGGACGTCTTTTGTATTGGTATATGTACACTAGACATTCGAAAATTCAGACATTAGAACAATGGAACGTTAGCAAAATTTCGTTTCTATTGATTCAAATGCTAAGCTTTATCTGAAATTATAATAAAAATTTATTAGTTTTACATGTTTTTCTACTGCATACTTCAAAGTAAAATGATAATTCTGTTCGATTTTAATTCATAATACATGACATATATTGACTTCAAAAAACTTTATAAATGGTCATTATCAGGAACTCTTTGTATTGTTAAATATTTTCTAATGTTTTGTCAAAAGTTTAGCAAGCTTATCTAAACATGATTCAATTACATTACTAGAATATTATTATATATCATTTTTCATTTTTGATAGATGTTGAAAGTAATTATACAATGTATTAAGGATTAACAAATCAAATTCAATATTTCATATTTTCTAAATGTTATAGCAAGATAATATCGAATTTAAACGCACTTTTCGTCTTTTGCTATTGGAAAATCACTTGAAAAAACAAGATGGTATTGCTCAGAGTTGATCACTTAGAAAAGCGACAACTCGGTTTCGTTTTTAATACAGTAATACATATGCTTTGAATTAATGATATCATTAAAGAAATGTTGGTAGTATTTAAGTATTCACTAATTTCTTTATACAAAGGCAACCCCTTTGTAGCGAACCCCGTTTGACCGAAGCACTAATTACAACCGAAGATGGCTCCAGGATCAGTTATAGTAAATCTACCCCGTTAAACCGAATTTACTAATGAAACCTCGGATAAACCGAATTTTTAAAATTTTTACTAATAGCACCGACCACTTCGGTATAACAGAGTTGCCTTTGTATCTTTAATCACAGCAGTGAATAAAACATTAATCCGGTACATTACGTCAAAACCATGAAAATTTATTAATTCATCTAGGCCTTCTTAATCAATGTAAAATGCAAGTTTTTAATTATCTAGACTAAAAGTTAAATTAGTAAATGTACTAGCAATTCTAACATTTAATCAGTATTTTATATTCAAATAATTAATGATTTATCTTTTTGAGTGTTATATTCTTTTAATCGACTGCGAACCAATATCAAGCCATATCAGATTTTAAACTTATTTTAAATAAAATATAGCCCTGGCCCATTTAATACCTACATGTGTATGTACATTTATACAACAATACGCATGACAAAGGTTATCGTTATGTAGAAATACATTTACATGTAGCGAACTAAATTTATAAATCGAGGTTATTGTAAATTAGACCATAAACGATAATTATCATAGTTTATAACTTCATTGTCTTTATTGACAAAAAGGAGTTGCTTGAAACTTGTATTATAAATATCAAATATTAGTTTACAACTTTGAATTGTTAGAATAAAGCAGCGAATTTGACGAAGTGTCAACGGCAGAAGTAATTTGTCGGTCGCGTTAAAAAGGCAAACGAAAATTCCAAGAAAACTTAAACAAGTATTCATTAAGAAGTAACAAACTATATTTTAATTAAATAATTTATGTACAGTTTGCTGTATATGTAGAAAATCAACTAAAAAGAAATTATGATATAAAGTTTGATCGAGAGCTCGTATGAACTTTATGAAATAGATCCTATTTCGAATGTAATACTTGTTTTGGAGTATGATAATAGTAATACTCTAAGAAATATCTTAGCAGACAATCGAAAACTTGTAGAGAAAAAAATTTTGATTAGTATTATTACTGCACAACTAGCTCAAATATTAGTATTTATACATGATTTCAGAATAATTTATCCAAATGAAAACATTGGCTTTTTTTAAAAATAAAAAACTGTGATTTACGTTTTACTTTATCAAATTTAGAATCAAACACATAATTTCGTATTTTTAAGTTGATGTACTTAGATAATTATCGTCTAAGATTTTTTTGGTCCTATCTAACCATCAACAAAACCGGGTACATGTATAATCACATAGGACGTCTAATAAATACGTTGAGTTATATAAATAACCGGATAATGAATTAGAAACTTAATTATCGGCTAATAATATTGAGCTATCTATTGTCGCCGTTGCAACCGTGATTAACGATTTATGAAGCCAAGCCGTGATCCATAGAAACCCCGTAATTCCAGTGTGACCTACGATCCCCCAAATCTTTGTGCGCCTAATATGGAAGTGATTAGAATAATTACTTCGCTTCGAAAATTCATACAAGATTCCTACCTTGTGGTAACAACATTAGCGTTGCCTCTCCTAACCGCCGAATTCTCCCCAAATATTCCTTATTAACGTCCCCAAGAACGTGAATATAACAAACAAAACGCAAACAAACCTATTGAACGATTACCTTTGATCCAAAGAAATCCTTGCGGAATTCTTATAACATCCATACTTTAATGTTGCACGTAGAATTCCTTTTTTTTATTAGTATCTACTCATAAAAATTGACATTTGATAACGATTAATTTTCATATTCACACTCGTATTAATGAAGCCACGCCTCTTTTGTGAACTTATCCATACTCTGTACGAAGTCTAGACTTATAGAATAGCAAGTAATTAGAACGCAACAAAAATGTATAAAAATGAATAGCTCTCACAAAATGGAGAGACAAGTCTTGTATGGCTTGAAGAAAAATAAAAAAATTATTTTTAAATCTTACCTAACATAGCTTCTCTTTTGTGCCTTAACAAAATCGATAGCTTTAATTCTCTTGTGCTTAACAATTGAAGGCTTTGCAGCTTTGGCCATACAAAGTTGATGAATTACGTATAATTCTTGATCCGTTTTATGCATTTTGGAAGTTCGAATTATTCTTTTGCTTACCATGGATAATAGAATTCTTTTTATAGTGGTTAATCATTTTGAAATAAACCTATTTCGAGGTTTAGGATAGTCATGATTCAAGAAGTTAGTTTAGTTATTTTAGTTAATTGAATTAAAGTTATAGTTTGTTAGTAATTTGATTAAAATGGATTAGATATTATTAGTTTATACTTTACCTTTGCTCCTTTATATTCTTTGCCCCTTCGATTGCACAACCTCCGTGTATGTTGGCGCAGGAGACCTTTAGAACCCTTAGTGATACCCCACTCTGTGTAAATCATTCAGTCTAACTCTCGTTTCATGTTGCGTTTGTAATTCTTTAGTCTAACTAACTTCTGAGTAGCGTGTAGCACTATGATTTGATTTGCAGAACAATCAAGCATAACATTTTAATTATCGATATAACTTTTTGTAAAAGTTCACATATTATGACTAATAGACGATCTAAATTTTTTTCTTATTGAATTAACTTGTAATTACATCTTTTTTTAAAGTTTACTTTTGTAACTTAATGCAATTATACTGCGAGTTTCCGTTTTGTGCTTCAAACTAAGAAATGAAGCTAGAATTTATTAACTTTAGCTACAGTATATCATGGCTGATATAAATATAGTGATAGGAATACCCGTAGAATTGATTATTCACATGACTTGATTACATTACATTGTACATTTATATGCTATAGTGGTGGACTAATGTTAGTAGGTAAAAATATTGGGACAATTCAATAAAAATTTATTAGTTGATTAATAATTTTCGTTCATTATTCTTATTAAATTGTGTCAAAATTTATAATACTCATGAGAACTATATAAGGAAAACGGAAAAGACTCCAAAAGAAAAATTCATAGTTAAAGTTCAAATTTAATCACAACGAATTACCCATCCAATGCAACGTAATCTTTTTTTTTACAACAAAGATTAATCTCAAATTATTTTGGTTTACAACGAACAGTCATGAAACTCTGGAATCTTTTTATCTGATTTTGCTGACACGCTTTTGATAAGCTTTTAAAATTTGGTTTATACATATAATCTTTAAAGAGAAATTTTTCATTAAATTAATAGTTAATACATGTATTTGTCTAAATACGTGTACACCGCAATAGTACATGTACATGTCCATGTATTCTGCAAAATACGGTATTCAGTAGATTTCATATCTGCTGGGTCGGTAAAACCAAAATCAGCAATGAAAGCAATATGCAATAATGCATGTAACATTTCGAAGTTATTCGAGTCATGTGTGTTTTGCTTGATAAGTACATTTCGCATGCACAGAAATGTTTTTCCATCAGCAAGAATTCTATACTAGGCATCACTTTCGCAAATATACATTGCTATTTTTTAACAAGTTATATGAATACAATGAAGTGTCTTCGTGTTTATTTTTCATTGGCAATGATGAAAAAGATTAAGGTTTATAAGCGATGGTATATGTATACAAATATGAAAAAAAATATATATCGATATGAGGAAATCATAAACGTACATTTAAAGTGATCGAATATTTATCTAGTAACCAAAGTAATCGCCAGTTAAATGACAATGAGATCCACTTTGACATTTAGCACACAATCTCTCTTTATGTACGGATCCATCTTCCGAATATTCGAGAGGCTCGTAACGCGTAATATAGCCCTCCATCTCGCTTTCACTATATCTTTTACATCTTTTACATTCTTGCGAACAAAAATCGCGGTTTGCTTCCAACTCTTTTCCTTCAATCTGATAAATATATTTTTCAAGTGAGATCCAGGTGTAAGCACTGCACCATGTTTTATCACAGTTTGAACATTTCCAATAACCGAATACTCTGTAAAAGTTCTTCCATACTAGATGAACAATGATCTCGAGGTCAGGCTTTTCCTAATTCGAAAGATTAATTAAAAACCAAAGAAATTACATCACGTAAACTCATTGATTTACTTACGTTCGTTGTTAGCGTAAACGGTAGATATAAACGAAAACTGGAGATCGTTTCAGAATCATGGCATTTTTTACAAGGTTCGTCAAAAAAAACTGTCATTTCTTCTGACGTTTTTTCAAGAAAATTTTCAAGTTCATTTGTAGTGTATCCTTTTTGCCATTCTATATATTTCGTTTTTTTTCCTTGTCGCCATTTTTTCCTTAGCCATTCTGTAAATGTCGGTTTTTTATCTGGCCATTCATCATCTGGCCATTCATTATCACACCATTCTTTATAACAACATTCCGAAGCCCAGCATACCCAATTACCATATATTTTGTTATATACATGTCCAAGTATATCGGTGGTCAATAAAGTTTTAATGATGATCTTCATCTATAGGGATATAATACGCATTTAAAAGTAATACTTTCTTGAATTTGAAAAATGTTGTAATAAACGACTCACAATCTGTATAAATTCATGCATCTTTCTTGCAATTCTCCTTCTCTCTCTCTCTCTTGTCACTCTCACTCTCAACTCTCTCATCTCTTCCTCTTCCTTCTCTCTCTCTTCCTTATCTCTCTTTATCATCTCTTTCATCTCTCTCTCTCCCAACTCAATCATCTCGCTAATCTCTCTCTCATCTCTCTCTTGATCTTTTTCGAAAATTTGCTCCGAAAATGTATTTAATGCATTCTATTAAAAATCAAATTTTAAAGGTTAGAGCAGGCAAGCCTTGTTAAAATTCAGTATTATAGCGAAGATAATATATTTGGTATGTTTGAGGAACTCTATAAATTAATTTAGATTGCCTCTGAGAATGCCAGAGAAAAATTTATTATAGGAATAGAAGGATGTCGTTATCTAATTTAAGACAATTTATCAATTTTTTGATAAGAGATCAAAAGAACTGCCAAATAAATTACCTTTTTCTTTGCATCATTTTCATTAGATTCATTTTGTTGATTGTCTAGATGTTGATAAAAGAAAGAGATTCGCTTCTAATAATCAAAGAAAGATAACCTTTGTTAATATATATATACCAATTTCTCATTATTTTGAATTTTAAATTATTTATACAATCATAAATGGCTTTTTCTCCTCGTGTATTTTACAATTATCAAATGTGCATGGTTCATTTTACCACAAAAAAACAAAAAATTGAATATATGCCTCATTTTCATTTTTGTTTGACGCTGAGGAATCGTTCGGTTTCATTGTCAGCGACAATAATAGGAAGAAAAAATATCGTTATAAATTTGGGATACAGTAACGTGATTGAGGGAAGTTTTGATATTAAATTATCAAATTACTTTTGATAAATTTTCCATATGCATGTATGTTAGTGGCGGATTATACCAATTTTTATATTAAACAAGTTTGTGCCAATATGCGGGTATTCTGATGTAGGTGATTACAAGATGACTTTTCCAATCATAATAACACACACCCCATTAATTCCCAGTTTTTTTGGATGAATACATTATGGTAATTTGCAATATTCTACCAATGCCCACTACATTTTTCATCGTGATTCTAGTATAATGAATTTCCCGAATGTACATGGTATAAAGACATGTGCCCCGATTTACGTGTGCAACCATAAACATCACTGTTATACTATACATGTAATTTCGTTAGCTGTCACGCAGATCAGGGGTAAATTTTAATCGATATGATGGTGGGCCTTCTTTCAATCACTGATCGACGATTCAGCAATGAGAATAAATCTCGTCTACAAAAATAGAACTTCGTTTCATAATATATAGCACCAGTTAAACCCGTTTTTTGTTTACCATTGGGAAGCAGTCAGTGGTTGCCAAGATATTTAGTTGGTGAGTATAGATATCATTTATCAATTGAATTAAAGATTTAACAATTTCATTCGTATCAATTTATGAGCACAACATCATTTATAAACCCATAGACTGCCATTCAAAGTTTCAGATAGTAGTCCGAGATATCTGAAATTAATTTCGTCCAATTTGATCGTGAAAACTTTCCGAACCAATTCGTTAGTATAAAAATCTGTTTAAATTGTCTTTTAAGTTTATAAGGAAATTATTATTATTAATTTTTTTAGATATCATTATATCAGGAGGAAGTATCAGGTTAGGTTAAACATCATGAGATGGTTTATTACTATTTTTACTAAACCAGAGCAAAAAATATTTATTTATTATTAGTATAATTATAATTAAAATTAAAATTAAATTAAAATTAAGATTAAATTAAGATTAAAATCATAATTATAATTACAATAATAAGAAATTTCTTTAAATAAAAATAAAATTTATTAAATAAAATCACTTGTTAATTTATTTGAGAGTTGTTTAATACTTCAAAGTCTAGGTACATAATCGCCAAAATAATAGTAATTAATAAAAATAAGTAAAATTATTAATTTATTTAAGAGGTCGTTAAAATATTTTTAATACTTACAAGTCGAGGTACATAAATCACCAAACTAATAAGTATAATTATTATTATTAGTAGAATTAGGAAAAAAGGGATTGTTGTAAGTCCGGAGCAAATTATTTTATATTAATCAGGCAATATGTAATATATATATGTGGTCACATGGGTGGACAATTTCTCTAGTACATGTATGTTCGATCCCATGACTTATATATGTAAATGGTCACGTGGATGGACAGACGGACAAATTTCAGTATGCCTGAAAATGTAAGTCTTTCGCTATGGTCCGGAAAACTAATTTTAAATTATAAATTAATTTATTAAAATTTCTTACACCTATGGAAGTATATAGTCAAATATTGATTATCTTCGTAATCACCAACACAAGCATTCGTTGATTCTCCTTATAAGTGGTAACCTGTTCAAAAAAGTTCACGCTTTCTGTTAATACGTCCACCAAATAAATTAGAAGCAGATATAAAAAAACTTAACAAACACGAAGAACCTATAGCATTTCGGAAACTTTAATGCATAAGCGAGAGTCTCTTTCTTTGTGAAGCTCTTCTTTAATAATAAAACTTTGTTTAACATAGTAGAGAAGCTTGCAAATTGAATAATTAAAAATGGGAAGCATAACTTTTACTATGAATAATGTTATATGAACTTCAATATCTGTTGGGATAGATTAGGTATTTCTTAACTTGATTAATAATACCAATGTATATGTAATAACAAATCATGACTACTATAACTGCAATAATATAATTTACGATATAATATTAAGATTTATAAGTCCATTATTTCCTCCATAATTTTGTGATACAAATATTCCCATTATTTTGAATTAATATCCAATACCGTTTTGTAAGTTATTTTTATACTCTTTATTAATTTTGTTTATTAGGTCTTTCAATATTTAATTAATTCTTAAGAAACATAGTGTTTAGCATTGCTTATCAATATTTCTTGATATTCATGATCTTGTTCTTTCTAATACCTCTTTATTGTTATCATTTATATTATTCTTGATCTTAATGTCCAGGTACGTTAGTTTTAGCATAGAGTTAACCGTTTATTAGATATAGATAGCATAGATATAGAATTAGTATGGATCTATTTGTATAAAAAGGCAAGATGTTAGCCTTTGAATAATATTCTCTAATGAAATAAATAAAAAGAAGAATTCTTATCTATAATAATTCTATTAATTGTGAATATACGTTTTTCTTTCTTTATTTAATTATCATCAAATCTTCTGTACAAGTAGTTATAAATGATTTATCTTCTGAATTTGATTGTTATTTGTTAGCAGAAATTAAGTCCAACCTTAGATTCGATATAATTTTTGGTTAACTGAAACTATTTGAGTTATTGCTTCTCAGATCACATTAATAAAGTGCATTATTTATTGCTGGTTATCAGAATCCATTTTCACTAATTTTAACTATTTATAAAAAGGTTAAGATGTGTATAAGTTATCACAGGAGATTTTCAAACTTTAAAGAAATTCTTTAATAGTAAGTAATTCAGTCTTACTTTCATGCTTACTTGTTGCACTCACTATTAGTTTTGCTTAGTCACAAGTTGTACTTAAAACTATTGTGTTCTTTTTGTGGAGATAAATTCAGCTCACATAAATTTCTTCAATTTGTCTGTATCAAACAATCGATACTATTAAGTATTAGTATTGATAAATAAATATTACTCTTTTATTGAAGATTACAGTATTACTAATAGCAATCATATTCATTATTTAATAATTCTTATTATTATTGCCCCTACTAGTTTCACCTGAAAAAGAATTCACCATGGCTTTCTTTTAGTATTGGAATTAGTAATAAAAATTATCAGATTGAACTTTATATTAGTGTTACATTTTATTTGAAGAAATTATTAATATAAAATTCAGTAATATATTAATCTTGCTTTGACAATGGATTATACAACTAAAACTTTATTAAGTTTGGATCAATCTGTGGCCCTGACCAAATCTGACACTTCGTTCAATCCAAAAAAAAGATTCAGTTTCAATTCATTCCAGATTTGCATCACAACATGAATCTCTTGATTTCATTTTATATTGTCAGTCTTGTGTGTTAAAACATGCGATTATAAGAAGGAGTTGAAGTTAAACAGATTTATTAATAAATTAAGTAAAAAAAGATTTTCTTGTGACAATTCATAAGAAATTACAAAGATAATCCAGGATTTACAAATGAAAAAAAAGCATTTTTTATTTATCAAGAAAACATATTTAAACAAAAATAACAAAGCTCTTTAACTTAGGTCCTAATAACTTTTCATATAATGAAGATTAAACTCCGTTCCAGTCTTAATAAATCACATTGCTTTAGTAAAATTACGTTATAGTAATATTAATACGTTAAAATAATTTTTGAAATATTAATTATTTAATAATACATATAAATATTATATGAGCATTTGAAATCAATATTGAATTTCTTATAGAGTTGAAAAGAGAAAAGGAAAAAATAACTGTAATGTTAATTAATGAATTATATTTGAATAAAATATCAATAAATAAGAATTTTGCTTCAAATTATGTGAATTTCATTATAAATATTTAAGTTTATGATAAATTCTAATAATATTTATTCTTGTAAATCTTCTAGCTAAACCCTGCATTTTTAGTTAATTTAGGAGTAATACTTATGAATTTATTGGGAGTATATTAATGACGGAATATGCTAGTTTTCCTAAATTTTTTCCGAAGGCTTTCTTCGAATTTGTTCTTAAAAAAAGTAAATCATTGCGAACAAATTCCTACCCATTTGATCAAAATTCTATCAGGTTACAAGTTCTATTCGCTAATGAAGATTCTGCTTTTCAGGAAATGGCATCGATAATTTTTACTGACTATTTTCAGTGTGTTGAAATATACTGAAAATTCTAAATCTAGGCCATTCATTGTAAAATATAAACATAGTGAGTAGTATTATAATTCAATTTATCAT